GTCAAAATGTTACTCAAGAACCTAGTGAACCAGAAACATGGCCTCGTATGGACCCAATATCAGCATGTTGAAACATACGCAGAGAGGTCAAAGTCATGACTGCCGAACTAAAATATATTCGACGGGCGTTCAAAACCAACAGTTAACCGAATAAATTATCTAACCGGTAGATACAAGAACGAGACGAAGGGCCAAACTGTACGGACCTAAAACTTTTGCGAGCTTTTTCGCTTGGCAAAAGGTTTTGGAGGCTGTTTGTCGCCTTCACATATTACTTGCGGGTGGATTTGCGTTGAGTCCGGGGGGGATCATTGGCTATCGATAGTGGAACAGAAAAACACGTGCCGCAGCGATCAACTTGAGGAGTCGTTCATTTGATCAGGTGTATTTGCGCACTAACCAACTACGTCGGGGAAACTCCACGACTGCCCCTAACACCGATGGAAAGTCACGCCACAGCGGTGCGGAGAATTAACGCTGGCTCTCACGCTGTGATTCATACGATGAGATTCGGCCATACATTCAAATTCGACGAGGCCGAAAATTGTTGCCAGACGTGACAATTCTGTAAGTCGCTAAGTGCTTCAGCCATGCATCACTGTTAACAAGTGCAATTTCAATGTTTCTTCCATATTCGACATCGAATTACGAGGTACTACGAGGTAAATCCTCACCTATGCATTATACCACACCCCCTTGGTAACACTAAGCACTTGACCAACATTGTTAACAGCAAGGAAAATGAAAGATGGCTGGGATCCCGATTGTCGCGGCGAGAACCTGCAAATAACTTGATTGCTGATATTTGTTATGCCTGTACAACGTCATTAACACTAATGACATGAGGATCCTCTCCCAAATATCTTATGAGATTTATTCTTATTCACTTAATTCAGGTAAGTATACCGAGTAGTGTGAAGCAGAAGCATAAAATCATTTGAACATACAATGCGACACACTTTTGACTTGATGTTCAGTAATCAGTCTGCATAAGTCACGTTTGCAAAAAATATTTTATTTATTAAACCCAGTCAGCTTTAAATATGCAGTTTTAAGACCCTTATTACGTTTAACGTTAGGGTTCGGTAATAAGGAGAATGTATTAGCCATAATATATTCCATCAGTTACAACACTTGCAGACTATCTTAGTCCTTGCGACATTAAACCGGTCTATTCTTAACGCAGAATATGAAGGTGTTGTTAAGTGCGTCTGTTAATCAATAGATGACTGAAGCGCATTGAGTCCAGCAATGTGCAACTCACACGGTTTCCCGTCTTCACGACTTGAATATGTGGCCTGTTCCACGGAATTAACTCCGATCCAAGTTCGCCGATGAAGTTTCACTGTCCACAACTGCGCTAAATGCGCTAGACAATTCCAGACGTCATCTGCTCCGACGATCAATTTTTCGGCGTCGTTACTCGATTCGTGGACGTTTTTGTTGGTCCTTGCGCAACCTTAAGTCCAAGTCTGTGACGGCTCCCCTGGCCTTCTTGATATATCTAAGCACCCGTTAGGGTTTGTCCTCGATATGCTCTGGTCAAATTTCTCTTTTGGTCTAAACTCTCCTATCAAATATACCTACACACCGTTGTAGCGCTTTAAAGTATGTTTGTTTATGACTGAAAAGGTTTTTGTTGTTGAGATTCAATACGTGCGTCAGAATATCACTCTGTCGAAGTTGAGGTAAACCTTGAGTCAGAACCTCAGTAATGTACGTAGTTCGTCAGTTCAGTTGTCCTTAATGTCTAAGCCCACCACGTAACACCTATCTCTAAGGCCTAACAGGTGCAACTACGAAATAGGATCTTGCCTGGACCAAGTGCGATGCAGGTGTACTTCGACGTCAATTAATCAAAGAACTTAAGGAATCACTGTGCATCATCTTTCTCAAATCTGGCCAAGTCCGTAAATTTAGCAATAAATAAAAACAATTAATTTGTGTGACCATTCAGAATGGATGGTCGCGGCCTTAGCTCACCAAGTAATGACCGGCCAGTCTGACATGATTCTACAGTTAACGGATGAAAACAATAATTAAAAATCGCTTCTAACATTCGACATATTTTACTGTCGAATAGGCTCAGTGGAGCTTAACATTAATTCTGCAAACGGAGATCCTGCCATATATCGCTCGGACGTAGGTCAATTCCAGCGGACAAAGAGCATCTATGTGATATTATTTACGTTAAATTCAGAAGGGCATTTGATGGCGTACACAAGAGCAACCCATCTAGCTGCTGGCAGTCTTGAGGGCAAAAGGTGACATGGAATGCATTTCAGATTATGTAACTGACCGTAAACAAATGTCTGCTGCATGCGTCAAGTACTAGTAATAGGAGTCTCTAAAAACTGCGGCGGAAAGAGGGCCAGTTCATGGCAGTACTATTTGTTATGTGCAAATGGCCTGGAACAGGTTGTAAAGTTCGATATGACGCTGTTTGTAAACAGTGTTAAACTGTAAAGCGTGAAAATTGATGAGGGATACTATTAAGTACTGCAGAAAAACGATGGAATTCGCTGATATGGAGTGTGTCCTGACACATGTAATTCAATGTAAAAAATGTGTGTTAAGACATGGAATGCCAGAGCAAAAATTATAAATGTACCTACATGACAAAACCTCTGGGAAAAGAATTCCTGAAGATTACAAATGCGCAGAACAACTTGGCGCATTGGGAAAGACGATCTTAGAACAACAATTCAATTTTAGGACCGAAAAGCGGACAGCTGATCCGCTAGGGGAAGATGCAATATATGGTCTAGTCCGGTTTTCCAGAGGAACGAATTAGACATTTACCCTCGCAGTAATAACCGCGTTTAAACACACATTCAATTTAAACTGCCATAAAGTTATCAGGTAAACCTAAGATTCCACTACGGAAGCCTTATAGAAACGGCAATTTACTGGAATATTCAGGAATTTAGATAAATATGTGAGATATGCGCTTGTCTAGTTAATGCCATCTCTTTTCATTCTTGTCCGAAGAGCTGGTAAAAATTCAAAAAAGATCCAAAATGGGAGGCCATTAACTGTTTTGAAAATGCGTATTATGCAGGATAGACTGTCTGATACAACAGTGTATCGCCCTTTATTCACATGCGTTGTAACAATATCGTTATCGCCCCATAAAATGCAAGTTGTTAGGCCTGTGACACTTTGTGTCGAATAATGTTCTTCGTCTCATCTGTCGCCTTCTTCGGCTTGGGAATTGGTTCCTTTGCTGTCATTGTGTTGGCAGGTTCGGCACAGGCTGTTTTAAATGACCTCTCATACCTTAAAACCTGTATTCGTTATGCTGTCGGCTCTACCGACAATAGGTTGCGCATCAGCCTGTCGTTCTTGGATGATGTTTAGGCAGGCTGATTATGGAATGTATTCTCCAGTGCAGCATCGTGTGTCGCTCTCTGTTCGTGTGCTCATTCGGTCAGTCTCTGCTGAAGCAAACGTTATATTTATAAGAGGGGGACGCTCACCGATATTTTCTACGCAATCTACTCGTCCCGTTGTGCATAATTGGCTCTCTCTCGAGCTCAAACGGCAGCCGCACATCGGCGCACGATATAGGCAACATGGTTTTACCGACAAACACTGGGGGGAATGAAATGGTCATTTCTGGCTCATTGACCGCCTTCGGCTAGACATACGCAACACCGATGTGTTAAACTCCTTGGGCTCAAACTATGGACCAGTTAGTTAGACGTCCAACGCTTGTAACCACTCAATTGCGGGCTGTTTATCCTGCCAGTTTTGATCGGGAATAAACAATGGTTAAGGGGCCCTAACCGGCGGTTCTTACGGAACTTACTCGTTTCGTTCTGCGTTACGGGCTCTCTCTCGAGACCAACTAGCAGCCGCTATAGGTAGAATGTTATTTGTGTTGGCATTATTTTAGGCGTATCATCAGTGTTATTAGCCATCTTGGTTCCCGCAACGGTTCATCGAGTACGAGAATTCCTGTCAACCCATCTGGAGGAAATATCAATTTCGACGAACACACTCAAACAAGTTATATTAGAAGAGGCGCAATAAATCTGCAGTTTATTTCTGACAGCCAACGCTATAAAAGGACACATGATGTAAGCATGGGACCGCTTTTTCGATTTCCTTTGTTTCATTTGGTTTTGAACGAACTTGATATGTGCTAACTCAACGATTAGATAAACAAGCATGAACAATAAGTTCACAAGGTTGATGTCATCTTTCAGATTCCACTAATGCAACCTACATTACTGCCCACTTTAATGTTGTTGAAGAGGTATTTTCGTCGATCAGGTTCATAGTGGAGATAAAAACGACCATTTCGCCCTTTTATATAGATGCCCCTCTAGACAGGAGATCTTAGTGCGACGTCCAAGGGTGCGCCTATCGCAAGACAGTATGGTCTGGGCACTACATAGATGTGGATAATGTCGTGCCTCCTCCACCCCATCAATTAAGAAACTCAGACGTAACGGTCTACAAAATGCTTTCGGGGGACATCATTGACGAGGAGCCTGCGGTTACTACGAGAAAACGGGTATACAGATAGGTTTATTGTAAAGAATATTGCCAAACGACCGGAAAAACACGACATGGTGCTTGCCGAAAAGATATCCATGATCCCTTAGTCCGTTTCAAGGAGAAGCTGTGAGAGAGCTTCTTGGAAGTTACCTTGATCAAGCTGTCTACGAAATAACCCAATGGATAAGCCTAGAATAGTAATCATTAAGTTGCCTACTTTGCACGAACTCGAGACCTCCTGCCTATATTCACGGCCGCGGTAGCTCTTTGGATCCCAACTAACTGGGAACCAGATAAATAATTTCAAGCATTAGTTTTGCCACGTTGATGACATCTTCCCATTGCCAGCAAAGCAACCGACGTAGCTTCCAACTTTGATGTGCTGCCGCCCACAAGACAAATTTGAAATTTGCTTCAGGCCTTAAGGGGTTAGTGAATAACGGTGTGCAGTAATTAATGCAGAAAAACTAACGTCAAAGATGAGGAATATCGAAATGCCATCTAAGTCCGTAGACGACATCTCAGATGGTGATGGTGACGGCGGTAGTGGCGGTAGTGTTGATGGTGGCGGTGAGGGTGGTGTTAGTGCTGGTAATGGTGGCGGCGTCGGCGGTGGTGGTGGTCCATGCATCGACCAAGGTCCATTGCGTCGAAACTGTCCCTCAAGTAAGTCCACGAAATGTACAACAATACACAATTTCTCAAGAAACCTAGTCACACAACAATGTCTAAATATGTGAACTAGCATATTACTCAGCCAGATGCAGACGTAGATTTCAGAATTCAACTGCATTCAAGGGAACGTCCTAAAATGGTTCATTTGCGCTTTTGAATGTAACTAAAGTAGTTGGTTAACTCTGAATGGCGGTTTCCTCGATGACACAATTCATGCACAAATAATGTCTGTTAATACGAGAAACAGTTGAGCTTTTAAAGGCGTAGAACCTATAAACGTATCATTAACGATAAACCATATCACAGCAGCAACAAGGATAGACATTCTATATTACATAATATAAAATAGGTGGGTTAACGCATGAAATTTCATTCGATATTCAGAATTATGTTTTCCCTTCAAAACGATAAATCAAATATTGTTTTAATACTAACCAATGTGTAGCAGAATTCTATAAAACTTCAGTTACCGCAGCAGGATACCTTTCGTTTGAACATTTTCCGGCCGCATACAAGAGTCATACTCCATTAAAATCGATTACATAAGCACCATGCATTTTTTTTCATTTTTCGATATCCTTAAAATTTCAATGATAATTCATAAAAACATTCACAACAATAATCATTATCTTACTCTTTCGGTAGGACTCAACGTTTACATTCCAAAAGTCAACTCAACGTCTGTACATACTGTAGTGAAGCGGAAGATATTGTTGTCAATTTGAAATATTTGATAAAAAAATCATATCAAAATAGAAGAACGATCAGGTCCTATCGACCCCAAACATTAAGGGGCGTTGAGGTATATCAAGAACGCCAGAGGAGCCGTCAGCGCTTTTCCACACCTCTTGAATAAAGTGTTGCGTTGAAACCTGTTGAAAACCCCAGGCGTTGTCTACGAGGCCGAACAATCAATTGGCAGGACAGAAAACGTCCGGAGTCGTTGAACGCATTAAGTGCAGTAGTGGAAGGGAAAACCCCATCGACGAACTTGGCGGTTTCTTCAATCACGGATGGCCGAAACTACCGTCACAGTAAGGAAGACGGATAGCAGCTCACAGACCGCAGCTAATTTGACGGAACGATCCACATATTCAACTCCATATAGACGGTAATGTACGTGAGAAAAGGCAACCATGTGAGTTGCGAACTTCCCCAGTCAATACGCTTCAGCCATCTATTGATTAACAAACGCACTTAAGAGCACCTTCATATTCTGTGTTGAGAATAGACCGGTTAAGCGTCGCAAGGGCTAACATAGTCTGTAAGTGGTGTAACTGATAGAAGAGATTATGGTTACTACGTTCTCCTTATTACCGAACCCTAAATTCATATGTAGTCAGGATCTCAAATCTAGATATGTAAAACTGACTGGGTTTAATTAATAAGAGATGTTTTGCAAACATGACGTGTACAGTCTGATCACTTAACATCAAATAAAATGCTGGTTGAATTGTATGTTTGAATGATCTCATGTTTCTGCTTCACACTACTCGGTATCCTTACCCAATTTAGGGGAATCAGGAAACCTCGCATTCGACAGGTGGGACAGGATCAAAATGTCACTAGCATCATCGGGATGGGTAATCATCGGGAGATGGCACCCAAAAAATCCGCCTAACCAATACAGCCTGCCTTACGGGACAGGTGGTAATTGGGGTTTTATTGAGGGTTGCTGGTCAGGATGTAGGATACCAGCCGACAGAAAGCATTATTTGAACAGATGAATGATCGATCTTGGCCCGCTTACCTTTCCTTTATTACAAATTGTGTCGCCAAATTCAGTATAGTGGTAACGGACGAATGGAAGGCGTATAATCGTCTTCACTCAGAAGGTTATCTACATTTATCTGCTAACCACTCAAAGAACTGCAAGGTCCCTACAACCAGACGGCACACCAATGCCACTGAGGCATAGTGGAGTAGACTGAAATGAAAACTCCACGACGGAGGCCCTGTATGTTGTCGAGCTGTGTGGGTTCACATAGACGAAGTACATTATCGTCTTTGGATTGGCCTCAATGCCATGTCTTTCACAGGTGCCTGGGAACTGTTCCTGTCCCATGTTGTGCAGACTTATCCTATTTACACGAGTTTTTGTTTTGTAATAAAATGCCATAATGCGAATGCAAGGCGTATATTCTGGAGTACGTGTCTAACGATGGGGAAGGTTAGGTAACAGCGACTATCGCCCATGTAATCTTCCGCGATGCTCATCCGGCGAGCCCATGTTAGGCCGTCGCGGAAAGTCCAAGGAGTGCACGAAGGTAGGCCTTCAAACGCTGATATAGGCTGAAGGCGTTTGAGTCCACTGGTCTCACACGCGTACGGGCGCCAGAGAGACCATGCGTTTATACTGCACTCTTACCATGGTAACTGTACCGAAATGTGCAGTAAGTGACTAACGTAATATTAGTTATCTACGCCTTGATTTTTATGAGTATGGACCTGTTTTGGTCGTCAATATAAGTTGACTCGCTGGAGGAAATTATTTTTATTTAGGTTCTCATCGTAATGTCACGCAGAATATTATGCCGTCTTGCGCTGTCTGCATCAAAGGCGTCGAACATTTTCGTTGTGAGCAGAATTGCTTGCGTGGACTAATTTTATAAATATATGTTGACTGTGAACACAGGCAAAATATTTTGCACAATTTATGATGTTCTTAACTTCTGCATGTGCTGTGTGTCGTAATAGCACATATTATATACCTTAACGCGAACTTCAGAGTAATTTTTGGCGACGATCGGGTGAACGACCCCAACACACACACACACAACCAGCCAAAAGTGCCGGTCTGGCGGGAAACGTGGCAACAGGGTGTTTACTGGCGGGGCACCAGACAGTCCACACCGATCGTTTCTCTGAGCTGAGGTCATTGTAGATAATGCACCAAACCGTCAACAACAGACGATTCAACGTTAGTGTTTATTTTTTAAGTTGTCCTGTTTAATTTCGGTTTGCATATGTCAATGCATTTCAACTTTTCCGTCCGAAAGACGAATTTACCGATCATCCATACCTATTTTTCCATTCCTCCATGCATACATAGCCCCCACAAGTAAAACCCCTTATTACCACCTTTTCCATAAGAGAGGCTCCGTTGGCTGATCGTTTGTATTTGTGGTCCTTCACCCGACCGTTGTCTTATTATTTTGAGACTTCGCGTGGTTCTTCAGTCAGGGCAAGTTGTTGAGTCTTGAATGTATCTTATGCTAGCCACCTGCAAGGAAAAAACTCGCCAGAAGATGATTACTTTATCACTATGCATTTTCCCTACCGATTGTCGATGCACTGGTACATTCGAATAAATGTTTAAGAACGGCCTTATAAAACGAACATTTCCTGCATTTATTTTGCAGTATATCACGTTTTTTAAAGTTTACACATCAAGAGGCAATATCTTTTGTTTGTACAAAAGCACTTGATTTTTGAATAAATTTGAACTCAGTCTGCCTTCATATTTTCGTATTGTTTTCGCTATTCGCGCTGCATGCATTCAGTGTAAAGAAGGAATTGCTCCTCTGTGTGATAATACGGGCGAATGTCAACGAGATTAACGGTTTCTAAGAGTTAAGGTTAGGATTAAGGGTAATGGCTAGGATTAGCGTCAGCATAGTTTATGACTCCGTATCATTTCCGCTCTCCATAACAAGGGTTTTATGATAAGGACGGAAAACCATATGTCATCTCAGGCTGTCTGTATCGAATTTGCAATAATTGTCATTTTGTTTGGAATTCCATGCGTGGTGTACATTTATAAACATGTGTTGACTGTAAGTATAGGCGAAATATGTTGCACAAATAAGGACGTCATTATCTTCTGCATGTGGTGTGTTTTCTAATAAAACATATTCTGTACCTTAAGCAGACGCTGAGTCTTAATGTCTTACAGCTTCGTCTCGTATCTTAGACAGGGCAAGGTGTTGTATTTTCAATGTATTTTACGCTAGCCACCTGAAAGGAACGCATTCGAAAGAAGGTGATTAATTAATTAGTATGCACTTACCCTATCGATTGTCGATGTCGTTGTTCATTCGATATATTCCAATGGAACGCATTATAAAGCAATTCTTTCTAGAAATTATTTTCTAGTAACTCATGTCTTATTTATAGTCCACACTTAAGGGGTTGCACTTTTAGTATGTATAGAACGTTTGAATTCTCTAAGAAATGTGACCTCAGTCTGCCGGTAGATTTTCGTATTTGTTTTCGGTATTCACGCTGTATACATTCCGTGTAAAAAGAACTTACGGTCCTTTTTGCCATTAGGGACGAGTCTCTAAGAGATCAGGGTTTTTTAGGAGGTAAGGTTACATTAAGGGGTAATGGCTAAGGATTGGGTGAGCAGGGGCTATGATTCTGTATATTTCTGCCTTACGTAATAACGGTTTTAGGGTTACGACGAGCGTTATGGTGGCATTGTGGGTTTAAGATAGACATTACGGTTAATGGCGGGCTTATAAGTTGGGGTTAGTTTGACTGCATGTGGTTAAAGTCATTGACAGACATTGCATAGTTTTTACCGTAAGGACTTAGGACTGCCTATCTGCAGCAACCGTGGATGCACAATCAAGCTAAAGTTAGCCTCGTTAGAAAGAAAACAAACAAAGAGTAAACAAAGAAAGCAATTTGCGATCGCCGACTCTGCTCTCTGTTCACACCCTAATGGAAATTACAGTTTCTCGGTTTACACCCCCTTATTGCCCGTGTTGATGGAGTAGGAGTGTTCAGTATTCAAACATGAGCGACTAATATTTCCAGAAATTGCGCCTCCAATCGCGTCTTTGTTGACATCTCTGTTGGCGCATACATAAATTCGCCTGTGAAGCATAGGAAAACGGCCGAAAATTAGTCGTCAGCGGAGCTTGCTTCGTCACAGTGAAGGGATTCTGTAAATTACATCTGTCGTCCGCGCATGCAGAATTACCATTCGATAGAGTCATATTTCAGTGGTGGACAACCAAAGCGTCGGATAGTTTAAAGTATTCGCACGTGCGCTGAGAACGCCTAAGTTACAGGAACTAAGCCCTACGAATGTTATAACGTGCTTAGGTAACTCAGTTGCACATTAACGATGTTCCACCGCATATGTCGTGTCAGAGTAGTCTAACCGTTTACTCACCCTGCCAGCGAACTATCGGGAGTTCAGTCTCCCAATAGTTCGACTTCCAGAGCAAAGAATGAAGTGTATTAAACTAAAAAATGTAATAATTCAGAGCAGATAAACGCGTCGGCGTTCACACTGTGCGAATGCGGGACAAGCTTCCACAAACTTCTATTAAATATTTTAATCTTTTTGTAAGAAATAAAACTAATAATTGTAAAAAACGTAAATGCTCGTAATTATCCTTAAGTCATGTATGCCATTTAATGGTCATTTACTAGGTAAATCACTTCAATACCGTCTCTGGCAAATAGCGAGTGCACATGTGTTACCCATTTCTGTATTTCTTTTGATAAAGTCATTTCATAGTTCAAGTTATTCTTATGCAGCTTTTAGCAACACTCCGTGATGCCAAAGAAAAGACAAATGGATTACTGATTACGTAAGAATTTATTTTCGCTTGTGTCTCTAACGCAGTTGTTCTTTGTATTCACTCAGGTAATTTACACACGCCCAAAGACCTCAATGGCAATGCTGCCTGTGCAATAGAATGTCAATCAAAAAAAGTTTGAATACGCGCTTAGAGGCCAATTGCTAATCGGCATGTGAATAGGGGTTATGCGTTTGAATTTTTCACCAAATGTCCAACGCGCGTTTTACACGCACAACTGCTGATTGGCTGGTTGAAATGCCGTGCCGAATACCATAAAGATTACGGCTGTTACAGCCGTGAATGCGCAATAAAATGCAAATAGATTTGTTTATGAGTCGTTAATAGTCAGTCGCTAAACAAAAATGCACCAATACGCTCCGCGCCCGAATAGACTTGTGATTTATTACCTCTTGGCGATAGCTCTCCTCTGTTATCTATTTACTGCAAGATGGTTGATCGTCATCCCCTCGGAGGTTTCCATAATCAGAAATGCAAGTAACTGCCATTCCGGTTGGCAGCGTCTCGAGTACTGGCCTGAGACAAACATTTACGAGTTGTCACTCGTAATGCAGCTGATGAAGTACAGCCACGTCGGTAGCAGAAGTGCCGACCGGTTTGTCCTCGCCCGACGAATCCGACGACGTCGTTCACACCGACGTACATAAACTTTTGATGACATGGCGGAGATTGAGGATTACAACTGGAGACGCCCGATTCCTCGTTCGGCCTACCTACTCTATCCACAGGCATAGAATATGAAGCAGGTAGTGGCAAGCATTAGGAACTGCTCTCTTATACCCGAGGTAGGTACAATTGCGCTGTATCTATAGCAAGGGAACTTTAAAGAACACCTATATTGCTGTCTCTGCTAATTTTGAATGCAGTTCGACGTCAAGCTGAATGCAGTCCCTGGTGTTTGGCTGCACGCACTTTATAGTTTTCGGCAGTCCAGCTGCGTGAATCTTAAACTAATCGGTTTGCTAGGGTACAAAGTAATTTCCCAAGAAGAAGACTTTGTGATCTCATCGGAAATGTCCATGTCTTCAAAATTTTCCAGGCAGATATGTCCTGCCTTTAGAGTATATTGTGCGCAGCGGGTCATGTACAAACACAGACGTCATGTTGGTGGCATTTTTAAATGCCGATTATTTAAACGTCATGTGCAGATGATCGGCGGTCTGCAAATAGGCAGGAATTAATAAGCGCCATCGTCTACAATCATGTTAGCTAATTAAGATAAACCAATCGGATGGCCTGTTCACTTTAAGGGCAAGTATATGGATTAGGATTATTTTGAATATTCTTCACCTTCAAGAAAACTATGTTCCAGAGAGGGTTCATGTACTTAAACTATCCCTTAACGCTTGAACATGCGTTCCTTTCACTTCAGTTTTCTTCTGTGTTTAATGCGTTTGGCGGATATTTTGAACTCCCTACAAGATTCACTAACGTCAGAAGAGAATGCCTATGTCTGAATTATATTTGGATTTTTAAATGACTGAATGAATGTGGACATAAAGTAAGTTACTGTTGTAGTAAATGTTCGAATTCAATTATTCCCATGTTTGGGTACTAGGGTGGTGACGTAAGATTTCCCACATTTGGACAATCAGTAAGTTACATATGTTACTCGAGGACATAAATAGATGAAATGCTGGCATGGGCTTATTGGCAAAATCGATACAAAAATATCACGCGAGATATTGTTCGGCTAGATCATTTCGAGGGGAATTAACTTATTAACTGACGAAAATCAATAACACTCATATATTACATTGCGTCCCATTATTGATTGTCCACTTTCCCTTGGCAGGCCCCCATATTCAACCAAAAATCCGATTTCTAAATGTCAGCTCGACCGTCTGCGTGCCAGGGCAATCAGTCGATAGTACTCTGGATGCCATTGTGATAGTGAAGTCCGCTGTCTACAATTTTGCTGATCGGGATCGTATACGGAGGGTTTATGCTAAAGGAACCCATCGCGATTCTGAATTCCGCATAGCTATAGTCTTCTCAGTAGGACTACCCCGAAGCAGCGGGGGTCGGTTCTTTCAACGTGACGGCTTCAACATCTCACTGCCAGACCGGGCAGGAGAGGCCATGGAGAAGATGAAAACAAGGAGATCAGAGGTTCTGAGAAATCTAACAGAAGAAGCTAGAGTGAACGGCGAACTCGTACTGGGAGACTACGAGGACATCTATTACAAACTCAGTCCTAAATTATTCCACACGTTCCAATGGGCCTCTCATTTCTGTCTTCCGCATTTCACCTCCCAAAAACGACTTCCTGTCTTCATATACATTGATGATGATTTCGCCTTCAATGTGGGCCTTTTGAAGGCCGAATTGAGGGTCCTCACTGACACACAAATTCGACGGGTGACTTGGGGCTTTCTACATAATCATATGAAGGTAAGACGTGTGATACCATTAAAAGTCACATCAAAGTGGTTCGTTTCTAAGCGCGAGGTGCCCTGGTCTTACCACGCTCCCTTTGCCGCAGGCCAATTTTACGTCATGGGCGCTGATGTTCTGCAGGAAATTGCAATAGCCATGTACTTCACTCTGCAGTTTCCAATAGACGATGCCTGGTTGGGCTTGGTCATGGCGAAGTCAGATGTCTATTTTCAGTCTTGTCCACATATGTACATACAGTTACCACAGGGTGTTAGAAAGGAATTGGTTCTGTTTGCACCGCTCGACTACCTCTTTCCTTTACAATGACTTAAATGGATGCTTACTCTATTATTTTCGTGTGGAAGACATTCCTAACTGAGCCAAAAATATATGCAATACTACCCTATTTTTATAATAATTTCAAATGGGGAATCTTATATTTTTGGGATATGGTTCGGTCGCGGATGAGATTGGTAAACTTGTTGCATCGATTTCATAATCATTGTTTTAGTTTTGCCCGTATATTAAAGGAGTATTCTAAAAATGGCGCACATGTGGAGCTAAAGTACAACTGTAGTGATAAGACATCAACGTCACAATAGAAGTGGCTAGATAACGATTCAAGATGTGACAAAAATAAGAAGACAGGAGGTCAGGTTCCTTAAATGCAGGGATGGATGTAATGCCGGGTTTAAGACTGCAAAGTTAGATTTTGGCAGGTAACTGTGTGCGGCTTATATGCGTAAGAAGGTAAATTCAAATTATTCGTCAATTCCGATGCACTACTAACCCTACAAAGAGACGGAATAAAATGAACCTCAAAGATAATTGGCTAGATGTTCAGGGTGATTTGATGTCAGATCATGAATGACGAACAAGGGGAAAGATAAATGTGAGGAATATAGCGTCAAATGTAATGGACTTTAATCGAGATCTGAATGAATTTGATAATGTTGATTGTTCAACAGGAAAACCTTCAAAATAATTCCTTACCTAAACCTCAAACGCTACCTAACGAAGCTATTAGTAAGTTTTAGCATATGATTAAAGTTTCTCAATACGCGATAAGATTTGACATTCCGGTGTTCTCAACGTATCTGTATCCTGTTTGGTATCGATATTGGTTTCGATTTTAGCGCTTAAAGAGAAAAACGTTGGCTGGCTTCCAGCGTACGTTTGTATTACACTATTGACTGGACTGCCACTACTGATACTTCGCCTTACCCCTCACAATTCGAGGCGTGACATTATTTTCATCCCGCCGGTTGTAGACGCGATGACTGTTTACTCAACGAATGGGCATGTGCTCGTTCAAGCTAATCTTTGAAGACGCGACGGCAATGATGGCATCTGTTCGCTTCTGTTTGTGCATTTTAATGTCAAAGGGGCTTTGTGAAGGAAGCCTTCAACGACTTACTGATTAGACGTCGGATATAGGCATCGTCATCGTGGACACTCAATATCAGGCCTAGTATAAGTCAGCATTGTCTGTACAGAGACAAATGTTTTATTAGCCGTTCACGTTATGGTTTGCATTGACAACCAGATTTCGGGCCGATATGAGCTTGACTTTTTGTGCCCACATCTACGTTTTGAACACTGTCGTTTGCTCAATTGTTAAGTATACTTCCCAAACATATTTGTTTATGCCATTTTGCATAGGTGAAATGATTATTCCTGCGAGGAGCGCACATTCAAGCACTTTTCCCAGCGCCAGGGTCAATGATGCAAATGGTCGAACAGTCATCATACCATTATTTAACTTCACTTATGGAGCTGTAACGAGAAATACCTATAATGCGTGTCTATAAACGGTCGTCGCACTAAGTGCAAAAATCCTCTATGTAGAGGGGATACTATAATCTTCACAGGTTTCTGATATAGTACCAACTGTATCTTACAAATTCTGCAGTCCATTGTGCATGAACTACTCATATCTCCTTCCGTCCCCGATGATCGATTTGACTAGGAATCGAAAGCATCAGGCGAATTAAGTTCTTGTTCCAGTGGTCGTGTATGCTTCTTCAGAGCGGCTTCCTGGAGCTCGTCTCTTAGCTTCTATTGACAGTATTTTTATACGATTGAATAATTAATCGAGTGTTTCCCCAAGAGTTCCTGGCCGGGCTTCGAAAGTGCCGATGGATGGTTGACCGGGAGTAGGCTAAATGATGGGAGTTGACTATGAAGAAATGTTTAACAAGTGGTGGCCCATTGGAGAAAAAAGGGCAGATCTCTTGTTGCGGGTCATTTGACGGGAACCGGATTTCCCTAATAATAGTTTGCACAGACTTTGCGATCACAGTGTTTTGTCAAGCTTCTGTTGTCGACGAATTGGTTTTACCCATCGTGTCATTCTTATTAGTTAGATTACGTTAAACAGCTGTTTACAGGTTGACAAATAGACTAACTACCAATTTCATGAAAATAGATCTTATTAGCCCTTCATTCCGACGGATTTTCGTATTGGCTAAACAAATCCATTATCAACTAATGCTGTAGAGCGCTTCTGATGGTCTCTGTGTCACGGTTGGGGCTTGCTGAGCGTAGCGTAACGTGAAAAAACATTGTACTTTACTGTTCATTGCATCATAAAATACAAATAATAATGATGGAGTTATAGCCTAAAATACGCGCAATTTAATTAGAGGAATAACAAAACGACAGCAAGTAATATAACAAACGTATAACTATGTCAAGAGTTAGAATACCCAAAGTATGTGAAGCGTACAAAAGCGTCGATTAATAATCGATGGCTGGACGTCCTACTGCACAATGAAAGTCCTTAGTAAAATGAAGTTGTAATTTATGATCATTGAATTATTAGTCGGTAAGATCCAATTGCAAGTTCTGATGACGTCGACATCAGAAAATCAAAATTTCATCCCATGCGTTTTGACCGTCGCTACTGGAGTTTCGACGCACTTTACTATAAGGCTTTTAATCGCGTTACGACAACTATTCCATTTAAGGAACCAGTCTAGTTAAGATTACACTAGCATTTTCCAAACAAGAATACGATTCCTACCGCAATGTATATATAATGATGCGCATAACGAGAAGGGGCGTATGCATTCGGGGAACTCAAGTAAATATCTTATCCCCTCCTCATCCTCAGTGTCAATCCAATTCACAATGCGAACAGACGGTGGGGTTTCTTTTGCGCAGATCCGCGGTTGTCATCTAGGGAGTGGCGGGACAAGGTAGTTGTTTAGTGATTTAAAATAATAAATTAATTCATATGTTTAAAATAAGTGAAATAATTGTTTAAAATATACTCACATGATAATGAGGCTCGCAAAAAACATATTTCCTGTGCAAGTGTCTATAGCAGGTTAACGACGTATATCGTCGACGTCAGTCGCAATATGCGGCGCCATGCACACTCATTGACACGCAAGTTAACACATTTTACTCTGCCATAATTAATTTTAAGTTTAGGCAATAATTATTCTGTTATTGTCAGAATTTCTTGATAACGAAAATAAGAACACTGAATAATGGTTATGCAAAAATCTGGTCTCACTTGCAACGGAAGTGCTGACTATATAGTATTGCTGCTTTTTCTGAAGCAAATTACCAACCTACGAAATAGCTAAAGAGTTTAACAATCTGCATGGCGGCACACACTTTGCAGTCCACAATTTTCTTGCTCGCTGAATTTTCAGACATTTTATTTTGGCCCTAGAACTACCCTTCCAAAATTAGCTTTCATATTAACTAAGAAGTTAGTGCAGATGGTTTCATTTCGCGTGTCGCAGAAAAACGCCAGATGGCCCATACAATTGCATAGGAGATTATGCAACGGCGTGCATCAGAAATGTCGGCAATTTATCCAGGATAAGTTGCAATAAACATCCTTAAATTAGTTCTCTTTTCAAATAATATTCTTGAAAGCTGAATTGCTGCCATGAGTTTCGACATTTCGAAAAAGTTATCGCTGACACTAAAGGAGGTGTCGTAGATAGGTCTCAAGGTAGTTGTATAACACAATTGATATTGTACACTGCAGATAACTGATTGCCCCTTGCTGAATTAGTAAACAAGATGAAGTAATGCTTTAGGGGGGCTAAACCATTCCCTGGAGTAGGAGGGAATGATGGGGCATGAAGAACGTACAAAGCAATTCGAGGATTGGAAGAAAATGGCAAGCCCAAGTGTATTGATCAAGTCAGTCACAAACGCCTATTTGAAGCCCTCGGCCTGGGCACTCGGTGGATTAAAAAGAAGGAGGGACGGACCTAAAGACAAACTGCATTATAAGAGAAGGAGAGTGCATTCGGAACCGACCAAGCTAACGGAGAGGTTAGAAAACAAGTTAAGCACGAGCGATACGAAAATAACAAGGCACATCCACACATATGCTAAAACCCATTCATTAGCACAAGTGTGTAATATTCAACAAGTGCGGCTGCATGACCCGATTTTACCAATCACGCGGAATGCTTTCTGCTTCAATCACTCTATGTGGGAGGGTGCTAACCTCAATATTGCTTCGTATTCCCATGGAACATATTTGTTGCCTAAAATCAAAAATCGCCCACCCAACTTCCTGTTACGATTTGCAAAACATCTGCATTTGATAAATGTCCAGGTGACATTTTTAAAATGCCATTCTACCTATACTGCTACGTTTATTCAGTTGTTTGCATGACAGTGCTGTATGTTCTTTCTACATGTAACCAATAGGGATTTCGAAGGTGCACACCTATTTTCCCTGAAATATCGTGATAATTCGATCGATACACCTACGTTTACTCGTCTTATAGGAATAGTCGTGTTTCATCATTCCCGCTTTTCTGAAATAGTTGCTATTACTAATCCACTAAACAGTACTCAATTTATTTTTCGCGTTTTTAAGTAGGGACACACCAATGGTTATGTGTTTTGGGGGGCGCACTGGGACGTCATTTCGTAGGACCAACTGTTTTTGCTAATTTGGCCAACTGTTTATCGCATCATATAAATTGAGTCAGAATTTGTCCGTGCCCTTCCAAAATAATTATAGAAAAATTGTTTCTTTCATTAGAGCGAGAGAGAGGAATTCGCTTTATTTTGAAATCAAAAATTCAAAATTTGCAGCAAAAAATTGACATTTTGCACTAAATATAGTTTATGGTTTAATAAATATATTAGGAGTCAAAAGGTTTAACGAAAAAGAACGATTATTATGGGGACAGTTCATGTCTTAGCTTTTGTATTTCTATCTCTTAATAGGTAAGATAGCGTGTCAGGAATGCCAATACAGTAGCTCAAAAAGCCAATCTGCGACAAGACATAAAAAGAAGCTGCGAGGCATCAAATATTAAGACATTGCAGCAATAAGATCAGAATGCAAGGAAAAGGCAACGTCATCTTTAATCCAACCAGCAAATTACTTGGCCAAAGTGAAATGTCGCTGTAGGATAATATCTTCAAATACGATAAGGAACACCAGCGGCAAAAGTGAGCAATTGGAGTAGTCGCATTAATATTAGAGGATTCTTTTTGAGCACAGCAGTAAAAATGAGAGGAGAGTAGTATAGGATTAGAGGAGGAATCCCGGCATCGATGAATCGTTAAACTAAGGGTTAAGGTGTACGGTGAGAGCGTTAACGAGAAATCTAATAAAGACGTTCACGAACCTTAGTAAAAGAGACTCATTAATTAGGGAAAATGAGAGATTTCAGAAAAAGGTAACGCCAAGGTACCTGATAGAAGATACCTCATTTGAAGGATGTAAGGAGCTTTAGGATTAGAAGACGGTCACAGTCGGAAAATACACTGAACTGATTTTTTGTTGTTCATTAGGAGACTATTTACCTCCGACCATACTAGAACGTGGCTAAGCCATACTTCGGAGACTGGAGGCGTGTCTGCCTCGTTAGAGGGTGTCTAACAACCACATCATCAGCATACTGGATTGAAAGGCAATCATAAGGGGACCTTAGATCGTTGGTTTGGAGGGCGAACAGGTAAGAGGATACAATGGAACCTTAATGAACTCCGCAGTCATTGGGAAGAACAGTGGATTTGCGATTGACAGATGGAACCAAATGAGTACGGAAACAAAACATAATGCCTAAGCCAAGAGACAACCCAGCCTGGAGAGCCGCAAGCGGATGTTTCGTTAAAGAGAAAAGGACGCGGGACAATACTGAAGGCTGAGTAGTAGTCAAGAAAAGCACATGCGTCCACGCGGCAAAACTTGTTAATTTCTATTAGAGTAGAATGTGCCATAAGTGCGAAAGCATACAAGGTACTGCGTTTGAATTTGTTTGCAAAATGCAAAGGGTCGGAAAAACCGGAAGGAAGATGTTTTTGTAATATCTAAGGCAACTCTTTGAGCAAGCTTCTGTAGTGCGGTGGAACAGGTAATTGGATGAAACAATTAAAAACAAAAATTATCGGGTTGTTTCATGGATGAGATTGATTCTCCTTGTACGCAAGGCATCAGGAATTTTAGACTCCATGAAAAAACATACTAATAAGGTGCGTTAAAAACGTGCCATCAGAGTACAACCAGATTTAAGCAGAACAGGCGATATACCGTCCGGTCCAGCAGCTGGTAATCCACGGAACTTTTAAGGCGTTTCTCTATTGTTGCCACAGAAACGGGATGGAAGGCATGTGGTGATAGGGGAATGTCATCTCAGTAAAGCTACAATTTTGATGTAAGCAGTCTAACTCAGCCTCCATGTATACCAGTGTGTTGCTATGGCCAATGCGACGCTTAGGAATGTTTCAAATTTCATCAGAGGAAGATAAAAGAGGGGAAACGAAGATAAGGCAAAAAAGGTTGGGTAACAACCAGACTATTTAACTTGTCAATCTCTGTTTTTTTAAAGACGGGAACACCCGTAAGTCCGTAACGTAAGCTCGGCTTGTAAAGGAGTTTTTCGTCTTAAACATTCCTGATTGGAAAAGAAATTCCTACCGGTCCTACTATCACAGTATCGAGGGGCATAAATGACAATAGTAATGCCTCTAAAATTACTTGAAGCAATGACATCTATTAAATCGGCAAGTAATAAATTAGGGACGTGCAGTCTCCACAGAAATTTTTATTAACAAAAATAACAAAGCCTCGACCTCTGTCACAAGATAGATGTTTTTATCACTTCGAAATCAGTAGAAAGATGCAAAGGTAATCAGTTACGAATCAATGTCACCATTTAGCCGGGTCTCTTGAAGGCAAGCCACTTTAGTTCTACTGTGATGTTTGTCGAATAAAGGTTACCCCAAATCGTGAGCCTTGCTGATGATAGAACGACAATTTGTCACCACGAAGCCAAGAACACTGTGCATGACCATCAAGCTTTTAAAGACTTATGCCAAATGCACATACCAAGTTGTTATATGACGCACTTGCATTAAGTGTTAACATTAATGTTATAGGATTAAGAAGAGTTTATCGCAATTAATTTATGCGCCTGATCCTAACCAGCGAAACCATGTTTTCTTGGACATTCAGACGATTTTGAAAAAAAGCATTGCAAACCTGTGCAATTTCATTCGCTAAGGTGCACAATAACGAACACAGATTATCCTTTGTTTGAATAAGCCAAAATTGCATTGCCATTTGGAAAACACTAAAACCCGGTACTTTTTTGCACACCAGTTTCCGCACACGCGTAGTTTAGAAACAAGAGTAGCAAAACACAACAAATTGAACTATATGATAAGTTTAATATGGCATTTTGTTGTGCAGTCATAATTGTAGCATGAAAACTAAAGGTGAAACTTAAAACCACATAAAAATGCAGTTTGTTCTAGTTGCGATGGAAAAATTACTGTTTTTAGCAGCTTAAAAGAATGCAGACTGTCATTCTGGACGAAGATTAATGTCAAATACCTCAAAAATATTGGATACTTTTCCAATGTTTCTCAGACAAAGCAAATAGACAACAAATCAGTTTTCGACATCAAGGTCTAAATTTGGCATGAACATGACAGCCGACATATCGTCCACTGGGAATTGCACGGTGAAGTACGTGACTGTGCAATTTTCTGAATGACGTCATGTTTGTGATGCAGGATCAGTAAGGCTGGTGTCTCAGCCAGAATACTTTGCTCATGGAAACGACCCACTTCCGAAAAAAAGTGGCGAAACATTATATTCATAGTCAACAAAGTGCTCCAGATCACATGTCGAAACTGCGCTCCTTGCAAGACGTAATTTTCAGACTTCTGAAAACCCTGGATAGTCATCGTCAGAGAAGGAGGTCGTTGCAAGGAGGTGAACTTAGCGCGTCAGATGATTGATGCCCCTTAAACTGTGAGAACTAACTACAGGCTGAGATTAAATTAGGCGTCCTCATAGTCTTCTATTAGAAGATCACCATTGGCTGGAACTTCTGCCAAAGTTTTCACAACGTCCAATCTCTTCGACTGCATCATTCCAATGGAGTCGCATGCTCGGTCTAAGAAGATGTTTAACTCCTCACTTTGGGAGGCGCTAACATCACTACTGAGGACAGGAAAGGCTCGGGTTTCGTGATACGGCTATTTCCCGCATTAAATGAGAGTGTGGGCTCATCGGAATTATTAATATGATTCTTGCAAAAAGAAACGCAGGTAACGTCCAGGGTTAATGTTTTCCTTTAAAATACCCTTGTTTTACTGACATTAGTTGACACTCTATGAGAGACACCAGAAAATGTCTATCGGGAAACGATCATGTTAAGATAAAGTCTAAAAGCTTGTAGATATAAAGAGAAATAGAGAGGAATTCACTTTTTTTTCAAATCATAAACTTAATCCTTTCATCAAAAAGTTGGCTTTATTTTCTATAAGCAGTTAATAAATAGATATATTATTCCAGAGCCAAAACACTTAACACAAAATAAGCGATTTTTCTGAGGACAGTTCAAGCCTTATCTTCTGCATTTCCATCTATTCACACGTAAGATAGCGCGCCAGAAATAGCCAAACAGAAGTTCGAAAAGCTAATGTGCGACAAGGCTTAAGGCAAAAACGCAGCTCTTCGGGCGGGTCGACTTCGCAGCAAAAAGATCATAATGCAAGGAAAAGACAACGGCAGGTTTAATCCGACCAGCAAATTACTTGACCGAAGTGAAATATCGTTGTAGGATAATATCTACTAAAATGATAAGGAAAACCAGCGGCAAAAGAGAGCATTTGGAGGACTTATTTTAATATTAGAAGATGTTTATTGAGCATAGAAAGAAAAATGACAGGTGAGCTTTATAGGATTAGAGGAGGAATCCCGGCATCGATGAATCGTCACACTAAAGGTTACAATGTGTGTTAGGTGCGAAAACGACGAATGTAATAAAGATGTTTACGGAGTTTAGTAAATAGGACACACTATGGAGGGAAAATGAAAGATGTTATTACAAAGAAACGTCAAGGTACCTAAAAGAGTATACCTCATTAGGAAGAATTTCATGGGATTCAAGACTAAGGGAGGGCCGCAGTCGGAAAATACACTGAACTGTTTTTTTGTTGCTCATTAGCAGACCATTTTCTTCCGAGCATACTACAACATAGTTAGGTCATCCTTTAGAGACTGGAGAACCAGCCTGCAATGACGCACGCGAATGTTTTGTTAAGGAGACGGCATTGAAGGCGGAGGTGTAGTGAAGAAAAGTGCATGCGTGCTCTCGGCACAACTTGTCTAATTGTTTTAGAGCAGATTCTACCACAAGAGCAACAGCATCTAAAGAACAGCGTTTGCTTTTGTACGCAAATTATAAAGGGTGGAAAAACATGGGAGAAGACGGCTTTATAATATCTTGAACAACGCTTTCAGCAAACATTAGTAGTGCGGAGGAGCAGACAATTATATTAAGAATTAGGACGAAATTGAGTGAGCGTTTAGGAATGGGAGTGATTCGCTTTGTACTCAATCTATCAGTGTGCTTGAACTCCATGGAAAACATGTAACATTGTGCGTTAAAATAGGGGCTATCTGAGAACAACATGTTTTAACAAGAAAGGGCTAGACACCATCCCGTCAGGCAGCTGATGACCCACGGAAGCTTTTAAGGCGTTGCCAAACAAACGAGTCGGAAGTCACATGATAGGGGAACCTCAGCTAAGGCGAGATGGTAGTCATTGTGACTACACATTAAATTTTAATTAAGGAGTCTAAATCAGCATCCACATACACCACTATGTTGCGATGACAAGTAAGATGTTTAACATTCTTCTAAACCTCGGCAGAGGAAGGGGAAGAAACAGGGAGGAAGAAAAGGGGAAAAGTTTACTAACAAGTGGACGATACAGCCCGTCAATCTCTGTTCTTATTAAGACGTTAATGTCCTTCAGGCTTCCACGTAAGCCTAGCTTGAAACGCAGTTGTGCTTTCGTCTTACGAATTTCAGAGAAGGGGTAAAATTCTATCTAGTCGTACAATGACAGCATAAAGAGGACAGTAAATATTATAAGTTTCATTTAAATACGCTGTTAGGTTGGAAGAACACGAATCAACAATCGATTGTTTAAGGAAAACGGGGTAGTAAAGCAATGCAAGTATGAAGCAGGCGATTGTGTTATGCGGACGTGTTGCGAACCTTTTCTTTTCTCACAGGCTTCGCTAGCAGTCCACAATTAGGCTTTGAATAGATTTTCGGAAGATATTATAAAGAAGAGTGTTAGGAATCTGACAATGGAGTCCTATTTCAACGAGGAAAGCATGCCGTGTTTAGTCAAAATTTGAACGAGAGGGATATCTGCGCTAGTATTAAGGGAGAAAAGATCAATTAGGTCCAACAAGTTTGAGGGAACGTACATTTACGCGATTTAAATCACCGCAGAATAGAATAATATCTTCACAGGACAACATAACCAGCATTTTCAAATAAAGTCGAAAAACCGGATAAGACCTTTTTTAGAGGAAGAGGAAGAATGTAAATGCTAACACATGTAATGTCTTTTAAAGTACCCAACAGAAGGGGCTCAAAAAGAACAGCGATGACATCTATTAAATCAGCAGAGAAAGCAAATAATGTCTTACAGTCTCGATATCAATGCTGATTAAGAAATATAGCAACTACCTTATATCTGCCCTAAAGTAAAGATTTCTCCTCCTTCCAAAAGCAGTAGAAAGATACAGGAGTAATAGGTTGCGAATTAATTTAACCACTTAACCACGTCTCTTGAAGGCAAACCACATCTGTTTTACTGTGTTCTTTTTTCGACAAAGATAGCTTCAAATCGTAGGTTTTGTCAAAGATAAAACAAACTTTTTGTCGACAAGAAAAGTGGATTTAACAATTTGCAACATGGCTGACGCTTGAAAACGAGTTTCCAGCTGCATAGGTTTTTGTGGACGCAAATTTGATAAATTATGCGCAAAACGATTGCAACTGCGACAAAATGGGTGGAAGGTGCAGCAGTTTGCATCATGGACATCCGCCAGTGCTACGCTACGATTAAAGTTTCTTCAAATGTATGTCAGCGTACTGTAGAGAAGACCTCATAATCTTAGTGCACACAATTAAGAGATGTGAAGCACTTCAAAATATCGAAGGGAAATAGGCAGAGTAATGTAGAATTTTAGAAAATCCAAACCTGAATGGAGAGCAACTAAAATAACGTCTCAAAACTAAAAATCCGTCTGCAGAGTGTTGAATGACGTTATTTGTGTCTGGACTATTCAGATATTAGCGATTTGTAGACATTTGACAAAATACCAGTGTTTCCAGTTTAATCTTTGACTTTTTGTAATGGATTTAAGTTGACGTGCATAGTCATTTATTGGCAGAATGTCACATCAAATCAGTTAAAAGTATTTTAAAGTCATTGCAAAGAAAGAGGTAGTTAAGGGGAGCAAACAGAACCAACTCCTTTCTAACGACATATCAGAAAGTACTTTACAGTTGAGCGAAAGCACACGTTTCTCATAATTCGTTGTGAGCATTCATTTTACAGCTACTCCCAGCTTAATGTTTGATAAGTTAGCAAGCATAACCAAAGGGGGCACCTACACTAAAATGGATGCTCAAACAAGTCATTTCAATGATGATTTTCCGCACACAAATATTACATTTTGAAGGTGTTACAGACGATTTAAGAATCTTTTTCTTTTCAAGCAACTAATTAGGACATCTGGAAATTACAGTACGCTTACTGAAATTTAAAGAGCCCCCTATAATTCTGCCAACTTAGTAGTAGATAACAAGAGTAAAATTTTTAATATATATAGATAATTGCATGCTTAGGATCTTGCCTGCTAATCACATTTGAATATATTTCTCACTGAATTCGAGATATCACTTATTCCCATACCGCTTCTAGCAGGGGGTTCACGCAGAATGCAGTTTGCTGAATTACGAGTATCTCGAAAATTCACCTCTAAACTGTAGCCTAAAATCAAACAGCATGCGCATACCTAGGGATTCTAACCCACAAAACCTTTGCATAAATGTGTATACAGTAGGGATTTTTCAGACTCTGTTACTTATATCTGTACACTTTTTAAATTTATTGCATGACTGTTTGCATGAACCTGGTAAATCAGAGTTCAGTTATATAAGCGGAATAGTCGCGTTTAATCATTTCCGCTTTTCTGAAGATTACTATTTCTTACTCATTAATTTGCAGTCAAAATATTTTTCCAATTGTTACTTAAAAAAGGTCCTCCATTATTAGTCAGTGGCCTTGGTGGATGTAGGTGGACTGGTTTTCGAATGATCAAATCCTATTCGCCAGGTAAGACAAATTTATATCACATCAGATAATGCGGATCGGAATTTGACACATTTCCCTACAAAATAATTGAAAAAAAATAGTTTCGTCATTTCTTAATGTATAAGACAGCCTAGATTAAGAGCATATATCAGCCTCATAGGCGGGGTACCATAGCTAGTTGTAATTCAGTACGAATCCTCCTACTCAGCATCGAAGAGAGACGTTCGTCGGCGTCTTGCTTAAACCCCTGAATGTGCTTCTACTTGAAGGATGTCTTCCATAAACAGAGTTGGAAATTTGAAAAATATTATGGAGTGCAAAAGTTAGGAAAATAACCAAGAAAAAAAATCTGTCTTTGCAACGAGTTCATTTATTTGATAGAGACATTTGATACAGTGAATCATGCTGTCCTCTGAACGATCATGTCGAGGGCTTAAGTCACAGACTGCGGGCCAGTCTCTGAAGCTTTTGCCAGGATTGACGGATAAGGCGGGAGGTCTACCCATACACACCCTATTCAGTCTCATTTGCGTTCGTCGTGCTGATGGACATTTACGGTGAGGAGCAATGATTTGGCCACACGAAGCGGTCTGCGAGTTATCAAAGGCTAGTATCTAGTATCACGAATAAGCGCATGCCAAACATTAGAACGAAAGAAGATGAGCAACGGACTTCGGATCTCGTCGTCTTCGCCTGTTCCAAATGGGACACAGAGAATATAGTGGTTCTGCCTCGACTGGGACCAAATACCTACTACACCGAACTGCATCTTGATGTTGGTGTTACCGCACACGGTAGTGGGAGACCCGCATAACCCAGGTGCATACGTAAGCTGATTCTTTATCTAGTTCTCCTTCACGCTTATCCTATGTAATACCGTTGGTGTTGGCGTAAGGGTTAGAAAATTGTCTTAGGGTTGATCTTTAACTGTTGCATCAGTACTACGGAATAAGTAACTTTGCTAATAAGGCGATCAATTTCACTTACGCCTTTGGTCAAGACCATAACATTGTTCGGATTTTCCGTGACAGCGTAAATTCTCATCACCGACTGGAATCAGTTTGTCTGAAATATTTGATCAATGCCCTTGATTTTCATCTTCCCATCTATGTACAAATCTTTATTTCTGGTATTTCAAAGTCGTTCTGTTTTCTTTACGCGTACAATGACAAATCACCGATTTATAGTAATCAGCGTAATTAGACTCCACCTTGCTGATATAGAGGCAGCGTTGAAACATATCACTTCCTACCCGAAGAATCAGATCTTCGTCTTCGTTTCAAACACATTTCAATCCAGAACCCAAATCATAAAGTAGAAAGCACTACTGCAATCATACTTGGCATGGATAGGAATTTCCTCCGCACTGAGGCAATAAACTAAGCTTATCAGTTAAAAGTCACTTAAGGTCATTGCAAAGGAAAGAGGTAGTTAAGGGGAGCAAACAGAACCAACTCCTTTCTAACATCCCCGGCACTGTTTGATACATATGAGGACGAGATTGGAAGTAGAGATCTAACTTCGTCATGACCAAGCCTAACCAGACATCGTCAATCGGAAATTGAAGGGTGAAGTACATAGCTAGCGCAATTTCCTGAAGAACGTCAGCCCCAAGGACGCAAAAGTTGCCAGGGCCAAAAGGAGCGTGGTAAGGCCAAGGTAGCTCGCGTTTGGACACAGACCACTTTTCGTAAGCCCTTGAATCCAAATGACGAACTGCCCTTTAATGATTTCGTGGCAAGTTCCAAGTCACTCGTCGAATTTGCTCGTCAGTGAGGGCGTCCAGCTCAGCCTTTAGAAGGCTTGCATTGAAGGCAAAGTCATCGTCAAGTTGGATGAAGACGGCAGGTCGTGTTTGGGAAGTGAAATGTGCGCGACAAGATTGAGAGGCCCATTGAAATGTGTGAAACAATTTGAGAGTGAGGTTAAAGTAGGTGTCCTCGTAGTCACCAAGTAGAATGTCACCGTTGACTCTGGCTTCTTCTGTCAGATTTCTCAGAACTTCTGACCTCTACGTCTTCATCTTCTCCATGGCCTCACCTGCCCGATCTGGCAGTGAGATGTTGAATCCATCACGCTGGAAGAACCGACCTCCGCTGCTACGGGGTAGACCCACGGAGAAGACCACAGCCATGCGAAATTCCGGTTCACGCTGAGTTTCTTCGGCAAAAGCCCTCCGTAAACGGTTCCGATCCGCAGAATTGTAGGCAGCGGACTTTATTGCCACAATAACATCAAGTGACATCTCGGCTGCTTTTCCTGGTGCACAAACGGTCGAGCTGACACTGAAGAATCTGATTGTCTGATTAAATATGGGGCCTTCGGATGAAGGTGTAGGGGAATAAAAAACACAGCAGTACGTTATTTGTTTGAATGAATATCAGGCATATTTTTTTCCCACAGATTAACTTGGATGCATGTTACTTTGTTGTAGTGGACGTTAAGGGTAGCACGAAGTTAAAAGCGTATTCTTTCTTGAAATCCACTCCCATTTATTTATCTCAATCCAATGTAATTGCACAATTTCGTTGATAGCCGTCTCGTGCATTGAATATGCATAAGTGAGATACCTGCGTCATAAATGTTCATATAAATGTTTCGGGCACTGAATCGAGACAAAAACTAATGAAAGTGTTCGGTCAGATGGCAAACGCTATTTCAACTTTCTTGTTTCAGCGGCAACCACGTAGTTCACGAACAAAATTAGCTCCAGGTTTGACGCCCTCCGGCGACCATAGTACATTCAAAACGTGCGCTTTTTAACAGATGGACCACGGAATAGTCCGGAAATGGGGGCATACCATTGCACAGTAATTTAAACAATGCGAATACATATAGGAGACACTAGGATTAACTTGCAGATAGCAAGTCGCTGCAAGATATGTTATGCAGAAAGTCCTTCTTATTATGCTTTTTAATCACTGACACACTGCAGAATGATTGGTAACATTTCAAAAGAAAACTGCAACGCGCATATAATTTTTCCTCTAATGTACATGAGCTTACCTCTGGTACGGACCGACCTTTCCTTATATCAGCAACTACCTGCTTTATATCCAACGCCTGCGGATAGAGTGAGAAGGCAGAACGAGGAATGGGGTATATCCAGTCCCCATCTGCAATCTCCGTCATTTCCGCAAAGGTATATCGCTGACGCCCAGAATGGTTTCGCTGAATGAGTCGACCAAGGACCCATCGATCGGAACTTTTGGTGGCGTTGACATTGACCTGCACTACGAGAGACAACTCAAAGGTGTTATTCGTATGGGAAACATCAAGCCGATACCAATCGTTCGACCGGATGCCGGGATATGCTCTGGTGAGCATTCCTCACTGGAGAACTATCCACCATTCGGCGGTAAATAGGAAGAGGAAAAAACCCACTGCCAAAAGTAGATAAATCCCGAGCCTCTTCATGAACACCGAGCTCCGCTGCATCTCAGTTGGGGCACCAAGTAATCACAGCTTCTCACGCGATTAGATAGACATTTATCATAGGACTTTCGCAAGCGGCAATGCTACAGAACGCCCGACCTATCCTGCCAATAAGCAAATTTGCAAGCTTCACTCGGTTCGTGCATTTCCTTGAAGCCTGAGCTTATAGGCGTGCGTTCCAACAACCGACTGTCGACCGGTATGTCTGGGTAATTTACACGTCTCATTTTAGACTTGACACAGTACGTATGTTGGCAACGAGAAAAGCTAGTGTTGACTTGGAGGGTTAGTTAGATTACAGTGGGAATACTGTGCACAACATTTGTCAGCGTATAACCGTTTCAAGCTTTCAAAATGGATTGTCTTGGGTTTCACTGTTGTTTTCATCTCAGTGGCTGAAATTCTACTGTACTCATTCTCGTTCTCACAGTTGACGTGAGGAAGCGATCTTAATTACGCAACGCTCGCCGCCGAGTCATGCTGCCTTAAAGGTCACAAATAATATCCTCATTCGGCTTACCTTTGTCTTTCTGAATGGGTCACGGTATAGAGAAGGACTTTATTTAATGATCCGCAGACAGCGAATCGTGCCATACGTGATTTATGATAAAGGGAGTTTTGTTGGTGGGGGAGCCCGCTAGACAGTAAGCTGACAAAATTAAAGAGACCACAGAAATTGCCTGGGTTTATGCCCAAAGTCTTATTCTGCGCAACTGGAAGGAGGTATTAAACAATAAAAGAAAAGCAAATTTCCGAAATAATGGATTTTGGATTGAGGTGTGAGGTCCTGCGAAGTAATCGTTGTTGGCAGTGTAGTTTGTGCAACAACCTGTTTACATTAAGCAAAGATAAAACCCCGCATCGCGCGATCCACAGGCTACTCACAGTTAAGCGGGGTCCTATTTTTACCGTTGCCTCTAGCTGTTCATGACATCTTAGTGATTCCGTTGGGAAAACGATGTATGCTATCTGCATATTTGAGGATCAGCTAATGACAACCAATCCGAAATATGTTGGTCTTTCTTCCTCATATTCGAGGGTGAGTGAGTCGGTTGCCCCGCGTTACCTACTTGCAGGTTGTAGTCGATGTATGCGTACTGCACTATTTTTCCCTCTGGAACTCGCCAATTTGTGCCCTTTGCGAGTGGGTGACCGTTCTCATGAAATCTCAATCGAAACACTGAAATGCGTCTTCGATAATGTAAGCCTGGTAAGCGGGGTTGTATCAGCGTTTAACTTATGGTAAGATTCCCTGTTCTGTTCCATCTGATAAATATTTAGCCAACTGCAATAGCCCATATTTCATCGATCAGCCAAATAATTTAACCTTTTATTTCGAATTTTGATTGACTTCTGCACAAAGCGGCATAATAATGCAGATCCGATCCCAATAAAATGATGTCACACAAGGCATGAGACCGCTAAAATTCACAAATAACGGCCGAAAGGCCAAGAAAGCGAAAGCAGACAGAAACCGATCAGCACAGGATCAAGGTATCCGGCACTTTATTTCAATTTCTGACCGAGTTTCACACAAAACTTTTGATTATGGAGTGGCCGACCAGTCCTACGAAATATCAGTCGCACAACTCTCTGATCAAGTGAGTCATTCAAATTTCTCACATTTAAAAATATTTCGAAGAAAGAATACCCTGAATTATCCTTTCTCACAACCATTTGGTAACAGTGTATTTGTCTGTTTTGAAATCATCGCGCAATGTGTGTCTTTCTGGACCGCACAATAACTATTTTAGTAGCATCTCATCTCGCTGTTCGTTAATGTTCCTCATTAAGTATTTAACATAGTCCGCATTCTTTTCAGGATTAAATGCACCCCGTACGGTATTTATATAATGTTGTATCGAAATGCGTATTTCCCTACAGTACGTGTATTTGGGCATGTCGTAAGTTGATAAAGGAAAGCGTCCCGCTTCAAATGTTGCTGCGAATTCGGCTAGAATTGTTGATATTATTGATTTCAAATGGTACTCTTCTTTTTTCCAAGTGGTGTGTTTTATGCAAGAGGGTTTGCTTACTATATTCGGTGTATTCCCTAACCACGAATTAAAGTCTCCTTATGGAATCCAACAAGGACACCTGGAAAGCTTTTAACAACTATGCACTTTTCACATAATTTAGACGCAAATCACACCGCCCCTATAGACTTTACTGTTAACAGCCGCAAGCTGAACTTGCTATATAAAGCAAAGGCTTCCGAAAACGCATCCTATGTTCTCATAGGTTCAGAATCTAGAATGGTATAAATGAGTCGTTCCTTCCAGCTTCAAATAAAATTATAAATGAAGGAGGCGCAGAAAGTGAAAAAATAATCTTTTCAAACGTGATATACGTAGGCTGCTTAATCAACATTCAAACAAAGATCTCGTTCGACAGATAGAGCAGAAGCCAGTTTTCATTTTATTTAAATGCTCATACAAATGTGTGGTGTGTGGATGAGGCGGCAAATCGTTATTTTAGCTGTAAAATGTTTTATGTACAGTGTCTGTGCACTGCGCTGGTTGGCTGAGTGGGGAATTGGCCGTTTCCAGTTGTCATCCACCATCTCTGCTATGCCAGAAGACGTGAGAATTCGATGGATGCGCTGACCGAATTTGACCTATCTGAAATTCTACGATTATCGTGACTGCCATATACAACCTGCGCTATCGAGGACAATTATATACTGTTTGTCGTATGCAAGTATTAAAGTAGATGCTAGTTGAGTGTGCCATGCGAATCATGGTGAGTCCAAGTGTATGGTGATGATTCACTACATTGCAGACAGCAGAACGTTGAGCGGATACACTGCCAACGGTGCACTGAACATAAGCGGTGTGTGCTTACCCATTCCTGTCGTGTTGTCGCCTACTCACAAAATATTGGAATTTTTATTGCCAGTCTCCAGTAATGACGATGCACGCAGCAGAGAAGTGTTACATAATTTTTTTCTCAAAATCGCATACATTGTTTGGTAGATTGAAGGCACATACTAAGGAGTCATTTGGTTTTGTGAATTATAAAACGTCTTTGATTTGGTCGTCTGCTGGCGTTTGCCAAAGACATTAGGGCAGGGAAATAGCGACTCAACCCCCAATTCTCCATTTGTTTGTGCCTTTCGTGTGCTATGGCGTGATGTGCTTGTGTCGGTCTGAAAACAATAAATCACACGTCTCTCTTCCTTCATCTCATGGTACGAAAGTTATATAAATAGATCGGCGGGAAAATGCCATTGGGCCCGCAGTCTGTGACTTAAGCCCTCGACATGATCGTTCAGAGCACAGCGTGATTCACTTTCTCATAGGTCTCCATCAAGAGATTGAGCTGGTTGCAAAGACATATTCTTATTTCTTCTCCTGCTTTTAGCACTCCACAATATTTTCAGAACACCTACTCTATTTTTGGAAGACTTCCTTGAAGTAGAGGCACATTCAGGGGATTAAGCAAGATGCTGACGTACGTCCATCTGCAATGCTGGGTAGGAGGATGCGTACTGAATTACAACTAGCTATGTTACCCCACCTATAGCAATGATATATACTCTTAATTTTGGCTTCTCTATAAACTAAGTTTAAAATGTTAGCGGACATAACCAACACGTTGATTATACGGTCTAATAGATTAAGAAACGAAGAAACTATTTTTTTCAATTTTTGAGGGAAATCTGTCAAATTCTGATTCACATTATCTGATCTGATGAAAAATCGTCTTAATTAGCGAAAGT